TGAACTCGGACGAGCTAATCAGTCTCTTCAGGTTTGTGTGCACCACAAGGGTGACGGGCAAGGGAATTGTAATTTGTCGCTCCGCCGCGCGCGGTGATGAGCGCTGTGTTTTCTTAAAGGACACATGGTACGCTCGAACACATTGAGGGTGTATGAGACTATCAGCCCCCCAGCTGTCGATGTGTCGTGGTCCCCCCCCCCCAAACATGCCCAGGAATGGAGATACAGGACCGTGAAACACGCTAATTCCTCCATGCTCCGCCTTACACCTTTTTGCGGCGCAGATTCCCGTCCTTCATAACATCCGTCGTAAGCGCGCGTGTCGCGTGCGGCTTGGCACTTTGCCAAGTCCTTTAATTGCGCTTTCAAATACAAGTAAAACGCAATTTCCTGATGCGGATAACATTGGAGGTGCTGCAAAATAAGAACAGAAGATGATGACGAGGGTCAGAACTTAAAAGCAACTGTGCCACTTCTGCAACATCCCTCGGAGGCCGCGTATTTCCACGAAACATGAAAATAAAACGGCATACTTTAATACAAGCAAAACGCAATTTCCTGATGCGAATAAAATTTTAGGTGTTGCTCATGCTTCAAAATCCATGTATTGGGTTGGCACATAAGTAATGGCCTTTTTTTCAATTGGAAATTTCGTCCCAAAGATGAAAGCTTTGCTAGTAAGCTTAATATCATCTGATAGGAAACTTCACGTAGTTTTTAGAAATCCAAATAAACGGCTTTGGTTGAGGGAATAATTTTTGTGGATTTTTTTAGTCGTTGAAGTTGAAAGCGAAGTCGCGAAAATTAGCACCTTCGACAACTGCCTCTATTTAACGTAGCCGTCGAAAGTGGCTAAAATTGCTTAAGCTGCTCCATACATTTGGAAAAGGTCGAGCTAGAAGTTCCAGCAAGGGAATCTCACTAGGACGCTTTGGGACGAATTTCAAGAATTTTGAAGTTACCAACCTTCACCTCGCCGATATTGGGCAGCTCACGTCTGTTCCACCTGAAATTTTATGCTAATATTTGAATGTTTCGCTGATATGTTTTGCACTTCTGATAGGAGAAACTAGGTTCCCGTTCTCCACGAATTTTATGCTAACATTTGAATGTTTCGCTAATGTGTTCTATATGTTCTGATAGCCAATTTCGTGCTCTATAACACTGCGTTGCAGTTATTTTGAAAATCCGTTTGATGAACCTTGTTTTTTCAGGTAAATAATATGGAATGTCAGATCGATAAGCATCAGCACTTCAGACATCTCCTCCTTTTCGCATTCAACAGAGGTATCGGAGCTGCTGATGCTGCTCGGGAAATTCGCTAAGAGCTGTCCTAACACCAATCTGTTACTCTAAGCCTTACTCAAACCATGGCGATTCTATTGAGCTGCTCTAGGAGCTTTGAAGCTTCAGTGGACAGCGGTTGAGAGAGGAAGTCGGGAACTCTAATTCTCATCGACCTCACGTTCCGTAAAGATAACCTGAACTTAACAGAAAGTAAACAGCTCCGGAGAACTGATTTTTATGTTATGTTATAGAGCACGAAATTGGCTATCAGAACATATAGAACACATTAGCGAAACATCTAAATGTTAGCATAAAATTCGTGGAAAACGGGAACCCTAGTTCTCAACGACTTCGCGTTCCGTAATGATAACCTGAATTAACAGAAAGCAAACACCTCTGGAGAACAGATTTCTATAGCAGTGTTATAGAGCACGAAATTTGCTATCAGACATGCAAAACATATCAGCGAAACATCTAAATATTAGCATAAAATTTCAGGTGGAACAGACGTGAGCTGCCCAATATCGGCGAGGTGAAGGTTGGTAACTTCAAAATTCTTGAAATTCGTCCCTCAATAGCGTTCCCTAGTGAGATTCCCTTGCTGAACCTTCTAGCTCGACCTTTTCCAAATGTATGGAGCAGCTTAAGCAATTTTAGCACTTCGACTGTACGTAAATAGAGGCAGTTGTCGAAGGTGCTAATTTTCGCCGACTTCGCTTTCAACTTCAACGACTAAAAAATCCACAAAAATTCCCTCAACCAAAGCCGTTTTGATATTCTAAAACTACGTGAAGTTTCCTATCAGATGATATCAAGCTTGCTAGCAAAACATTTCATCTTTGGAACGAAATTTCCGGTTGAAAAAAAACGAAAGTACTTTATGTGCCAACCCAATACAAGGAGATAAAAAAATGATAGCAGGCTAGAAATGAAGCACAACGATGTAAATGTAAACAAAACAAAAATGAAAAAATCAAGGAAAGGCAAATTAGATAAACTGGCCTGTAAATTTCTACGATCCGGCGCCAAAGCCATAGAAATACTTAGAACAAACGAGTGGGACGCTTGGGCTGTTTTTATTCTCATGTTTTGTGGGAATGCGCGGCCTCTGATGGATACTGCAGATGCAGCCGAGTTGCTCTTGAGTTCTGGCCTCGTCGTCATCATCTTCTGTTCTTATTTTGTAGCACCTCCAATGTTATCCGCATCAGGAAATTGCGTTTTACTTGTATTTGAGAGCGCAATTAAAGGACTTGGCAAAGTGCCAGGAGCCGCGACACGCGCGCTTACGACGGATGTGTATGAAGGACGGGTAATCTGCGCCCGCAAAAAAAGGTATAGGCGAGGAATTAGCGTGTTTTCCACGGTCTGTATCTCCATATCCTGGCTATGTATGGGGGCGAGGGGACCCAACGAACATAAATCGACAGCTGGGGAGCTGATAGTGTCATGCACGGCGCTCATTCGTGTCTGAGCGTACCATGTATCTTTAACTCGTGTTAATTGTCCATTGGAGCACCGGACTTCATGTAGACCCCTAATCGTAGACATGACTATTACCGGTCTGAATTGCCTGTTGTTGCCATCTACTACTTGGAACCATCGTCATTCTGCGGCGCGGTCGTACGGACAACCGCGCCGGTAAATGCAGCGATTCTCTTGTCAGCATACCCGCACTAACGAATTGCGGATATGTTTTTGGACCGATTTTTTTTTTCTCCATCGGTGTATGTATCCACGCTGGCAGGAGATGGTGCAGTAACAAGCGGGACGCATTATTACGCGACGCTGAACTATGGTCGTCCTCTGACATAGAGTGGTATAGGCTTAGAAAGTGGAGGCGCTTGATGACATTTGACTGGAAACTAATGAACAATAGCTTATAACAGCAGAGGCACTATAAATATTGGTTTGGGGAATAAGCTCGTTCGGTTTTTTCAAAGAGCTTTATTTAAACCAAAACAATACTTATAACAATAAATTAATTAAATATGTGTTCTCCATCATTGTTTACCACCTCCTCCCACCTCTCGACAAATTTGTTGATGCCGTTCCGCCAAAAGTCGCCAGGTCTAGTGTCGAAGAAGTTGTTGAGCCAGGTTTTGAGGTCCTCTTCGTTTCGAAGGTAACACCCCTCATTTGGTTTGACATGGAGCGGAAAGGTGACAGTCGGTTGGCGCAAGGTCTGGAGAGTACGGTGGATGCTGAAGAACCTCCCCATTCGAGAGCTTTTGGTATTGCGCTTTGACGACTTTTGCAACATACGTCCTGGCGTTGTCGTGGGAGTAGGATAACTTGACCTTGTCGATCGGGTCCTTTTCATTCGAATTGCCTCATTTACACGGTGCAGCTGGGCAATGTAGAGGTCCTTGATGACTGTGGCGTTTCCATTCGAGCATTTCCCAGTGCACTATAACTTCCAGTCCCACTAAACGCAGAGCAATCTCTTCTTATGTGGATCCTGCTTGACTCTAATGCTTCCTGGTGTCTCTGGTGCAGCACAGTCTTTCTTTGCTTCATATTGACATCAGACCTGCCAGTGAGCCTCATTTTTCATTCCCCGTCACGATTCGGTACAAAAAGCGTAACACGTTGCATATATGCACCGAGCCGGCTTTCAGCTGCTTCTAACCGCTATGAAAAGCAAAGAAAAGTGGCTGTCGAAAGTGCTTGATTTTTGCCTCTTGGGTATATTTCTACGCCTGAAAAATAAAAAAAAATTAATTTATACTGACAAACAAAGAAATAACACACTTTTGTAAAGCAGGAAAAGCACTTTCTATTGAACGCAAACACTTTGCCAAACAACAAACAAATCATTTAAATAAAGCTCTCTGAAAAACCGAACGAACTTATTCCCAACCCAATAAAATGTTCACCTAACATGCCTGATGACACGAAAACCTGGCCTGCCTAACATAAATATATAATATTAGTCAGCTTATACCACGAAACCGCCTGGCACTTGCGCCGCATGCGCTTCTAAGCAGTTTTCTGGAGCGGTTCCATGCTAAGCAGAAGTTAAGGCAGCAGGGGGCATACGGTTAGATAAGGCATTTCCGATTGGATTATAAATAGACAACGGCGCGCCCTTGTGACTGCTAGCCACAGTGATCCTCAGGTTGCTAAAGATCGGTCCTAGAATGAAGGATCACTATTTTGGAAGAAGGGCCACGCCGCCCGTGTTTTCACACCCTTCCCACGTGCTTAACTCTTCTAGCTTTTGAGTGTGCGTAATATTTACGTTTAGCGTGTAAAATCACTCTAGGGACAACATTTAGGGAGGCCTGGTGATCAGCTGGTATTTTAGTGCCGGCGTATTTCGTATTTTAGTGCCGGCGTATTTTCGTATTTTTTAGAAAATTTCTTGATTCTCGGGGAGTGGAGCAGTTAAGGGTAAATAGTGCCGGAAAAACATCGATGTGCGATTAGCTTCGATAGGACTTTAGGATTTGCTAAATATTCTGATGGTTCGGGAAAAGGTAAGGAAACCGATATCATTATATGCACACTCTTCACAGTACGCTTCCTAATGCCATGCTCAGAAGTAAAGGGATCTTATTCGTACCCCTCCTAGGTTTTTTGCCTTTTTCGTCACTGACCGCCTCTCAGAACCACCTTCATAGTTGCTCACAAGTACATTCGTACTGCTTTCGTATATGGGGCCTTTCATGTCGGAAATACTTGAACAGTTTCATTTTTCATTTTTCTAGATGGATATCTCAAAACATACTTCACGAACTTGGCTGGATGACTCGGCGGCTGTCAACTGTACAACATGTGGGAAGGTGTTTAGTCTGACAGTTCGAAAACATCACTGTCGTGTTTGTGGCTTGATATTTTGTGCAACATGTAGCTCAAAGACGACACAGTAAGTTTTTCTAAGGATTAGCTTGAAGTTGAATTTCTTCAGTATTATTCTCCTCCAAAAATCTCCTTGTGTTGTTGCAGGATTGCCAGTCACAAGAACCCAGTGAGGGTTTGTGACACTTGTTTCACGGAGGTCCAGAATCGGTGAATGGATGACTGTATCATCCCGAGTTCGCGATAAGCCAGTGGCTGTTTCCGTTATCCTGTTTCAGGGCTCAAACACCCTTCATGACAATCCTAATTGTTTAGAAGTGTCTATATATCTTTTGACTTTGTATTTATTCTTTTCTTTTGTGTGATATCAATGTGATTTGCTCCTTTCTGGGTTTACGATTCTATTCGACATCCTCGTTTTTCCTGAAAATTGCCCAAATTATAGTAGTCCGGTCCAATCTGTAACTATATTTTCCTCGCATATGGTGCATTCACGTTATTCGATCTGTGTTCAGAAATGTAGTGTGATTTATGTTGTGATATATTTCTACAGTTGTATTCAAATATTAGCTGCCATAATAGAGATTATGTACCAAATTATAATAATTCAATAAATAGATTTGATTATCTCCCCTGTCATTTTGCCTATGAAGTCTATTCCCTGGTGGGTGCAACGGGAGTAATAAGGGAGATGTACGTCGCAGCAAAACGATAGTGCACATGGTGTCATGTACTCGGCATTCGCACGAGGACCTGACTGAACCAAAGGGAAGTGCTGTAGTGTGTCCAATGAACAATCAAGGAAATGCCTGCTAGGTTCTGCTGCAACCCGGCTTTCCCGGAGGGATGTGGTAGAACAACCGTAATATGCCGCGTTGGGCGTGACGAACGGTGCTGCGCGAAGACGAGCTGTTCAGCCCGGCGGTTCGAATGTAGAAGGGGCGAGAAAGATCGATACAAGGTAGCCTTACCTCAATCTCAATTTACATGAGTTCCGGTGCCGCCAATCAAAGCGGTGCACAGCGAGAGTTGCTGGAACACCCACACATCAGCCTACCTTGCGACGAACGTGTCAATCACGAATACAGTGCGTAACAAAAGTATGTGGACACCCCAAATTTTGATTTTGCGAAACTGCCTTTAGATATTGCGATCTGAGACCATCACTGTTAAATTCCTCATAAGCGAAAGTATAGGAATGCACTACCTACGAGCACATTGTGAACTATTGAGCAATGATTTAGAGTTTTTGAAAAAAAATTTCTTGATACAAAAGTATGGTTGGACACCTAGAAAAACAAAAGTATTCATGGAAATTTAAAAGACTTTGCTGCCTCCCGGCGTTCAGCTTATCACTTCGAACATTCTGTCTGGTCATGCTGTGGACCAACGATTTGGATAGTGTCTCTTCGTCGAATTATTAATTCCATGGCAGGCCACTACAGCCTCCTTGCAGGTCTCCGACCCTGCTGTACTGCCGATTGTCTCACCGCGTAAACTCGCACCGAACCATAATTCCCCACAGGTTTTCGATTGGGTTGCAGTCAGGAGAACATACCGGCCAATCCATCACTTTGATACCATTGCGCTGGAGCCATTTTATAGTAGAATTTGAAACATGCACGGCGGCGTTGTCCTGCTGCAGCACATGTGTCCTGGGTCGTGGCCCACTCAGAAAAGCAAGGGTAGGAGTTCGAGCATCCTTTGATATTCTGACTGTTCACATAACGGCATCGATGGAGCGAACTCGAACTTCCGGCTGTTCCAAAACCAACCACACCATCAAAGAGCCGCCTCCGAAATTTCGCCTCGAGAACAGCAATGGATCGCGACGAAGGTCTCTCCAGTAGTGCCGATATCCATCTGGACCATCGAGATCGGACTTTTTTTTCATCGGTGAAGATAACCTAAGAAAGAAAAGCCGCATGGTGATGCTTGAGCCTTTCTGATTTTAACGAAAATTTTCAAAGCATCACCCCTGTCCCATCGCGTCGCCATGGTTCGAAAGCGGCGAGCGAAGTTCACTCTCCGCCAGCTGGTGTTGATTAGTCAGGCGGGGCGGCTTTCTTTTCAGGGTCTCTCCGTGTGATATGCTCAATTTGAATCTAACCAGTAATGAGCGCCATAAAGATCGCATTTTTGAGACCGGTAGATTAATTGCAGCATGGATCTATCTCACAGAAAGGGGGGAGTTTGAGGCGACCCGCGCTATTTTTCTGATGTCTTTTACGGACAAAGATCGAGGACGCCCCGAAATATGTGCTGAATGGTAGCCATCAGGATTCTGGAGTATTACCATAACCAGCACGTCCCCGAACGTCTGGCATCTTGCAATTTCTTCTCTATTGAGGGCCAGCAGCACTAGAGAGCTCGCCTCTGAAGATTGATCGTCTTCGGAGAGAGTACTGGGTTACGACGAGGCATGGATATTCAGGGTAAGGGAGGGCAGAGCGAATAGATATGGGGCAGATTTGGAGTCAAACTTTATGGAATTTTTCATAGGATGTCCACATACTTTTGTTATTAAGAAATTTTTTCAAAACAATAAATAATTGAACAGTAGTTCACAATGTATTCAGAAGTAGTGCATTCCTATACTTTCGCTTATGAGGAATCTAACAGTGATGGTCTCAGATCGCAAAATCCAAATGCAACTTCGCAAAATCAAAATTTGAGGTGTCCACATACTTTTGTTACGCACTGTATATATGTCCGTGTACTCCATAGGATGGAGGCATAGTTTAGAGTAGGCTAGCGACGCGAAATCACAAGATGTAGCCCTTCAGAGATGCGGTGACCACCCTATAGGAGAATACCGCGTGTGTGTGGGGACGAAGGGCTGGAGTCGGCTGCTGGGTGATGGCGCTGGTTCCCGTTGCCGATGCTGCACTCTTTACAATGTCAGGCTGATGTTATTGAAAAGTTGAGCGTGACATTTTGCAATAGAAGCACAATATAAACAAATTACCCCAAACATTCAGACTATATTACTTCGAGTCGACCTTTGGGTTTTCGCTCGAATGACACAGCAATGGCCTTCGAAAGAGGCTTTTTCAACCAAAACTAGAGGCTATTCCAACGTCCTCATTTCAGAGTGAGTCAGCTGCCCTACATTCTCCTCCCTTGACCCACCTGGAAAAGTCTATCAGTTATCAAAGAACAAGGCTAGAGTCAATTCTCTTTGAATCGAGTTTGCTTCCGTTTTTCTATTGCCTCTCACGTCTGCAGGCAATTTGCGCTAAATGTGATCTTGATTTAATTCCACAATTTATACTGCATGATAAGTGGCTCAATCAAGACCCGGGTGTCTCTTGTCACTTTTGTGAAGAAACTCACCTTCTAGCTTGTGCGACCGTTTTTATTTTGAATAATGTGACATCTTAATCTTCTGTGCAGGGACCCGTCGCGAAATCGTGTAAAGCAGACGGATAGAGACAGCGGCTGCCAAAGCATCGAAGTGTGCAGGATACATGTAATAAGCCAGGATATGGATTTTTCGAGGAAAACGAGTCCGGAGTGGGCGAGCCACTTATCATTTGTGCAAAGCTGGAATGTGTGAGGTCACAATGAGAATATAGGGCCATACGGGGAGAAAGTGCAGAGAGAAAGAGAAGATCGACATGCTCCAAGAAGGAAGACTTCCAGGTCGTGCACCCCTTTATCGAATCGGTTTGTTGGATGTTGTTGACATGCGGTGACCACAGACGTGTTGTTCTTTTTCGCTGCACGCTTCTGGCTCCCAAGGAAAGGCGAAAACATTGTTCAGTTCACGGGGAAACTCGGTGACAATGAACTCTTTTGTTTTTTCAACAGAAAATTCTGGGGTTTTTTGACTTGATCTTGTCCAGTCGATGGCTTACGATATACACCAGCACAATAATTTATTTGTCAAAATGCAAAATTTCGTCACCTCGAGAATTCAACCATCTGCCTATTGTTCAGCCTTTCCTCAGCCTTGCTGGAAGCGCGCAGTGCACACATGCAACAAACGAGATATCTCCACTGTGGACTCAAAGACACATGCCACCGTCTTGCAAATTGGGTCCACGACCCCAAAGACCTCTGAGGGATTGAGTTCATGTTTTCTGTAGACCCCTACCGAAAACTCTAATTGTCACGTAACTGCCTAGACACTGGCTGGGTACCCTTCAATAGTGGAATGTGTCTTGAGTCCACAGTGGAGATATCTCGTCCTTGTGGCTGCTTCTCAAATCAACTACAGCTTAGGGAAGGGGTTCAAATGAAAGTTTTCTTTCCGCCTATCTCCTGCAAAATCGCTCAGAAAGTTGGACGGTTTTCGATCATGTCGGTTCGGTTTTCGATGCAATTTCGCTATTAATCTTCGAAGTTGCAAGATGAAAATCTGTCTCGACTGACGGTGCCGAAGTGCGTCTCGGCGCTTTTCAGGGTCAGTTTCACGACCTTATGCGAGCCGATTTTTGTCATCAATCAGTTGAGAGCACACTTATCTTACTGTATCTCTCACAAATATTTGCCACATTGGTAATAGGTCATCGTAGGAAAGGCGTGGCAGTAAGCGTAGCTGTCTGAGAAACTCCACACGAATGTGTTCATTGGTGCCAAACTGCAGTAAACTAGTAGAAAGTTGCAAAATCAGCCAATTGGTTGAGGATTTTGTAGAGTGATATCACTACGAAGTTACGTTACCTTCCTGAAAACTTACAGGGCATGCAGTTCTACTACTAGTTTTGCAAGACAACTGCAATCTGTTCCGGAAAATATACCCGTGAATACATATTTCCCCGCAGGAATTAGCAATGTCTTTTTTTTTACTTTCGAGTTGTTCTTTACTAGTTACTTGTTGGTTAAGAGATCCCCCTCCCCCCCCCCCCCTTCATTGCGATCGAATACCAATCGCCGTTGTGATTTCCACAACGACAGCGT